ATTTTTATTTTTATCGTTTTGTTTTTTTTTTTGAGACAGAGTCTCATTCTGTTGCCTTGGCTAGAGTATTTTTATTGTTTTTTCCCCCATCTAGAAGTGTTGCATTTTTATGTAGTCCAGTTGACCAAGTTGTGCCACTATGACAGTTTCTCAAATCACCTGGATGTCTTATACAAATGCAAATTCCTGGGCCCCATTCCAGACCTAGTTAAACTTTTAGGGGTGAACTTTAGGACTCTGTACTTTTAGAAAGCTCCCTAGGGGATTTTCTTTTTCCTTTCCTATCTCCCCTTTTTCCCTCTTTCTCATCCATTCCTTCCAAACTTTTGTTATATTCAATGATCAGTGTTGAAGAATTTGCTAGAGTAATATAAAAGTAAACATGTTAATTATGCAACTGGAAGCCACTGTCATCTGAGAGAACGTGCTGATTAAATAAGATCAAATGACTTATTCTTTATGAGTTGACTTCAGGGAGAAGAAAAAATCATGATTTTCTCTAACACTTAAAAAAATTTATTATGGAAAATCTCAAGCACACACAAAAGTAGAGAAAATAATATAGTAAATTCCCATGTACCCATTACCAAGCTTCAACAATTACCTACAGCCAATCTCGTTTCATCTGTACTTCCCATTTCCCCGACTATCCTCCTTCCCCAGATTATTTTAAAGCAAATCTCAGGAGATTCCTAAACTCATTCAAATTTGAGATTCAAAACTTTATGATTTCTGGGTTTTGCATTGTGCTTACAAAGTTCTTTTCAACTCCAAGAAAATATCTACTCATTTTTTTTCTAGCTAGTATCTGTATGATCTCATTTTCTTTGCTTTTAATCTCAAGAGTTTGAAGTCTATATTATTAAAAAACAAAACTGGAGACATTAGGGGTAATGCTAAGGAATAGGTACCTGAAATGTCTTCTGCAAGACATTTCGAATATCTGTTCTTTAGAATTCCACCCAACAGGACTTAACACCAGAACTTTCTTACATGTTACTAACGGCCAGCAAGATTCTTATCTATAGTGTTTTGCCTTTATGCTACCTGATGTTTGTATTTGATATAGTCTTAAATTACTCCAATTAGTTAAAGGAAGGAGGTTTGAGAAGTATTTAAGCATGAGCAACAGATAATTAAAAATGCTAACACTTTGAACATGAGAATTAAGTATTGAGGCAGAGAGGCCTATAGCTGTAGATTACTTGTCTGAGTCACTGCTGGTTGACTCAACATCAAGCTGTCGTCCCTTAATCTCCTATCTGTAAAATATGGATAACAGCACTACCTACCTACATTGGTTAGAAAAATGAGACTTATACTTTGATCTTCTTCAAAGGAGTGAGCTGCCTAATTAGCTGAGTTTCCTTTAATTGTTCTTAGTTCTTGTCTCAGTGAAGGAATTATTCCTCAGTAAATAAATATTCTCTTTTGCTTGTAGAAGAATGAGGAAATAGAAATCGAGACCTTATAAAATATTAATATTTTAAAGGTTTTTAGAATTCTAAACAAAAATTGCCACTTAAATGTTTTTAAATAATTTATTGAGATAACATTCACATAATGCTCACCATTTTAATCATTTTGAAGTGTACAATTCAGTGTTTTTAGTATATTCACAAGGTTGTGCAACTATCACCACTAATTTCTGAACATTTCATCACCCAACAAGGAAACCCTTTCTACTCTGCCTTCTCCCCACCCCATCCCCTGGCAACTACTATTGAGACTTCTCTTTCTACAGATTTGCCTTTCCTGGACATTTCATATAAATGGAATCATACAATATGTGGCTTTTTGTGTTTGGCTTTGTTCACTTAGCATGTTTTCATCAGCCTTCTGAGTAACTGGGACTACAGGCATGTGCCACCATGCCGCACTAATTTTTCTATTCTTTGTAGAGACAGGGTCTCACACTTGTTCAGGTTGGTCTCAAACTCCTGGCCTCAAGTGATCCTCCCACCTCAGTCTCCCAAAGTGCTAGGATTACAGGTGTGAGCCACTGTGCCTGACCAGTACTTCCTTTTTACAAAGGCTGAATAATATTTCAGCATACGAATATATCATGGTTCATTAATTCATTAGTTGATAAACATTTGGGTTGTTTTCCTTTTGGCAATTATGCATAGTGCTATGAACATTTGTATACAAGTTTTTGTGTGAACATGTTTTCATTTCTCTTAGGTACTAGGAGTGGAATTGCTGGGTCATCGGGTATCTATGCTTAGTATTTTGAGGAACTGCCAAACTGTTTTCCAAAGTGGCTATACCATTTTACACTCCCACCAGCAATGTATGGGGGTTCCCATTTAGCCACATCCTCACCAACTTTTTTGTGTTTTAAAATTATAGCCATACTAGTGGATGTTAAGTGGTATCTCATTGTGGTCCCGATTTGCATTTTCCTAGTGACTAACAACGTTGAACATTTTCTTAAATGCATATTGGCCATTTCTACATCTTCTTTAGAGAAATGTCTATTCAAATCCTTAGCCCATTTTTAACTTTGGTTGCCTTTTTATTATTGAGTTATAGTTCTTTGTAATCTCATAAGATCTTACCAAGATTAAAGCCAACACAGAACCATGATGACATATTTTGAACCCTCATATCCATGTATGCATAAAGTCAGACCTGAATACATGGACTTTGGTTTTATGAACCAATACGTTCTCAGGGCCTAATCTTACTAGAATAGAGGGATGATCTTCTATGTCAAAGCTCCTCAAGTAGAATGGGGCTTTTCTCTCACTAATTTAAGTATGCCCAGGCCCTGCCCTACACTGTGGGGAATCTTAACCTGAGGGGCCTGGCAGGAATGGGGCTAGGAGGTGGGAGAAAGCTGAATGATGCTTGCCTCAATTTTAAGTGCTACTCCCAAGTTCCTGAGGGCCCTGGCAGAAATTTCAAATCACAGAGACCTTTGCACAACATTCATAATGCTTATAAATGCCACAACTTAAAAAATAAAGCAACAAAATAAAAAGTAACCAATCTGCCAGGGCAGATAGATTAAAAAGTATCTTAAAGTGTCACAGTAGCTACTTATGACTAGAGAGAATACAAAAACCCGGCATTAGGCATAAACTTTTTAGGAGCTGTGTAACTTAACATCACGTTTTCCAAAATACCTTTTCTCTTCCTTTTTTTTTTTTTTTTTGAGACATGATCTCGCTCTGTTGCCAGGGCTAGAGAGCAGTGGCATCATCATAGCTCACTGCAACCTCAAATTCCTGGGGCTCAAGTGATCCTCCTGCCTCAGTCTCCTGAGTAGATGGGACTACAGGCAGGTACCACCATGCCCAGCTGATTTTTCTATTTTTTGTAGAGATGAGGGCTCACTCTTGCTCAAGCTGGTCTTGAACTCCAGGCTTCAAGGAATCTTCCCAATGTGGCCTCCCAAAGTGCTAGGATTAGAGGCATGAGTCACTGTGCATGGCCCAAAATACTTTCCTACCTATTTTTGTCCTTAGGTTGCCAAGATGGTTCAGCCAACATGTCTTTAAAGATTGAATATTACTGAATGTTCAAAGTAGATGAGTCCAAAGATAGAGGACTCACCATGTGAACTTGAACAAGAGAGGCTACGAGGAGGAGAAGGTAGTGAAATTAGGGGTGCTGCATGAAGTTGATGCACAGCTGTTTCCTATGTCTCTGGAACATGCACAAAGGCTTTAATAGTTTCATATGTGAATAATAATGACACTGTGATAATTAAGCAGAACAAAACTTAAGATGTGGGCCGGGCGCGGTGGCTCACGCCTGTAATCCTAGCTCTCTGGGAGGCCGAGGTGGGTGGATTGTTTGAGCTCAGGAGTTCGA